TGTCTTCAGATTGCAATGACTGAGGCCAGCCTGAGAGTCTCAGGACAAGCTCACCTCTAGTACGATGGCTGTGGTCATCACTGACTTTTCTTCCAAAAGTTGGGATAAGTTTCCAGATGAACATGAGGTTAGCTTAGCATGGCGGATGGTATCATTGGAACGGAGAGTCATTCTTTATGCACTCAATACTGATTACTAGCAGGAGATCTCAACTCTCAAAATGATCTAAAAGAAAAGAAAATATGGATCTGGTGTGAAACAATGGGGGTACAGAGGCTGTAGCCATACCAACGTCCATGTTGTCCCCTGTATAGACTTCTACTCCCAAACAACTTTCTCCCTCATGAACCTAAAAACAGAATGGAATGAACAATGAAGAGATACGGGATTGTCCATAATGTCACCTTCACACCACACACACACGCACACACACACACACACACACACATACACACACACACACACACACATAATCTCTAGCTTGTCTAGACAGTTATTCCATTTTAAGATAAAAATTACTGGAGAAAGATAAAAAGGTATTGTTGGTCTAAAATAGCCTCAGACAGCCACATATCTGTGTCTTTCCAAAACACCTTTCTTCCTTCTCTGCAGTTTGGTCAGGGGGTTTTTCCTTCCGCGGCTCCCACTTCTGGGCCTCACATCCATCAGCAGCAGCAGAACACCAGGACAGCTGTAGCTCCACTACCTGGGATTCTGGCTCCTGCTTCCCAGCAGAATCCATTCCTTGTTTATAGAAGCTCTTTGCACATAGAAACTTGGAAGCAGGACTGTCCTGTCTCCTGTAACCATGGAAACATGCTCTCTAGCTTCCAGGAGAAACCAACCTTCCACAAGCTGAATGAAATCGAAGAAATGCAAACCTTTATTCTGAAAAGGGGCTATAGACTTCTCCAGCCTAGGGGCCCCAACACAAAAGATGTGGATCCCCTGCCTTCAAATCAATGACCGTTAGAGCTAGAAGGACCTCAAGGGCCACCTTGAACAACCTGTTGCCTCCCCTCCTCCCCAAACCACTAAGGAAGATGGGTTAAAATGGAGAAATAAGCCAAATGTGAAAGACGACCCAAATGAATGACATGGGGATGGATGCATGGGTCCGGCTGAAGAGTAGGTCCATGAGGGCTTTAGGCTTACCTACTAGGGAATGCTGTCCATGAGGTTCATGTCTTAAACACTCCAGAATCAGGACGAAGAGGGAGGGCTGTCTGTCCTTGAAAACACTCATCTTTGGCAGCCATATGTGTATTTCAAGCCTTGCTCTTACTCAGAAGAGTCTTAGAACCCTGTTTGGGAACTGCCTCTAGAGCACATTTATATCCTCCCCTTTGGATGACTCTATTCTCCCAGTTTGTTTGGACCCCTAAATAGCATCTATCAATCAACGAGTAAACATCTGGGTGCCAGGTACATCGTTTGGGACTTGAACGTCTTTCAGCTATTTCTGAAAACAAAATCCTTCCTCACAGGGCAGTGGGGATATGCCATTGTGTGAGCCCAAGGATGCGAAGGCAATCCCAGAGGAAGCAGGAGGCTTCCCAAGGTGCCCGATGTGGTGGCTAGAGCAGTTCCATGGGGCAATTCTGGTCTCAGAGTCTTTTTGGTTTTTGGGTCTCATTATGATCACATACTCATACTAATCTGTCTCCTTTCCACCAGACTGGCACCTCACAAGGTCAGACACCATCTTCTCTGGGAACAATGCCTACTCTCTCCTAAAGGCTTTTGGGAAGGCTTCCCCTATCAATGCACTATTCCATGCCAAATTTCCATAGGGGAAGAAAGTTCATTTAGTAATTTGTTGTCGTTGAGTTGTTTCAGTCATGTCTGACTCTTCATGATCCCATTTGGGGTTTTCTTGGCAAAGATGTTGGAGTGATTTGCCATTTCCTTCTCCAGCTTATTTTTAAAGAAGAGGAAACCAAGACAAACAGGGTGAAGTGACTTGCCCAGGATCACCTAGCTAGTAAGTGTCTGAGGCCCGATTTGAACTCAGGAAGGTGAGTCTTCCGGATTCCAGGCCCAGCACTCTAGCCACTGCACCATACAGCTGCCTTCATTTAATAACACTAGAGGTTATGCTTATAATGATTTCAGGTTTGCACATAGCCTCTCAGAGTGGACCTGGGAGATAGATGTCATTATTATCTCAATTTTCTAGATGAGGAAACTGAGGTTCAGAGAGTATGAGAACTCCCCAGGAATAAAAGAGGGATGGACTAGTAAAAATCATAGGTTTTTGCCAATGACTAAAGGATAAGAAACAAATAATGAAAAGATAAGCACTTGCAAGCTTTTGCAGGAACTAGGGATTCTTAACAAGCAACATTTTATTCCATTACTGAGAACAAGGAGGGATTTAGAAATACTTTGTAGCTTCTTGCTGATAAACGAGCTGAATTCCATCCTTGAAATTCTCAATCGGAGGCAGAAGAACCCAAAGTCGAGACCTTGGCCTGTGTCACTAAGTTGTCATGTGCTATGTGCCAACTGCCTGCCCTTGAGTGCCTCTTTGGCATCATGCCCTTCTTCAAGTTCTAATCCCTATCTCACTGCCATGTAAATAGTGTCCCACATATGGGCATGTGTGTGGGGGAGAGGGAGGACTCTATGATTTGTGCAGGTGTTTGTGTTGGTAGGAAGATGTGGTCTGTGTCTGTTTTAAAGGAGGACAGGGGTGGAAGGAAGCCCAGGGTAAGAATATAGATGTGATGAGCTGCATTCATCTCAAAGCCTGACTACATAATGGCATTACTACATCCTCAAAAACCAAAACTAATCACACAGTGGGAATTCCAATGTTTTCAAGACTGTCACAAGACCCAAAACAGGTCTGGAGAAGGCTGTGCTTTGGTGCGCCCACTCTGTCCAACCCCTTGAAATATTTCCTGGCATCGGGGATACTGGTCAGGGTGGCTGCAGACATAATGAGGGAAAAGGAAAGAAAAGAGATGTGAACAACAGTAAGAAAAAAACTGGTCAGGAATTCAAAGGACATTCTCTATGTTTATTGGAGATGTTTGAGTGAGTGATGGCTGGCAGTGGATCTCAGCTTTCAAATTAATCTGAATGCCTGAAAGACAAAAAATATGGATATGAGTTCCTCCCTTACAACTAACTTTCTTCCTCCTGAAACTAAAAGCAGAATGGCATTGTTGATTAAGGGGTACTGGATTGGCCCCATCAGTCACCCTTGAAGAGCCTCTGGCTTTGGCCAATCATTTGATTCGAAGATTTAAGTATCTAGAGGAAGTGGGAAAGGAACTGGCAGTCTAAAGTAGTGAGAACCTCAAACGGCCACATCCCTGTGCCTTTCCAAAAGACCTTGGGTACAGGACCCCTGATTCCTGGCAGTGTGGTCAAGGTACCTTTCTTTCCATGGCTCACACTTCTGGGCTTTATATCCACCTGTGGCAGCAGGATGATGGGACAGGTATAGCTTTTTGTTGTTGTTTTTGGTTTTGTTTTGTGTTATAGATGTAATTGAGGTTAAATGACTTGCCTAGGATCACACAGCTAGGAAGTGTCTGAGGCTCGATTTGAACTCAGGTTCTCTTGACTCCAGGGCTGGTGATCTATCCACTGCACCACCTAGCTGCCCCAGTTGTAGCTTTTTTACCTGGGATTCTGGCTCCTGCATCCCAGCAAAATCCATCCCTTGTTTATGGAACCTCTTTGTATACAGAAACGTGGAAACAGACTCTCGTCTGCTGTAACCATGGAAATGTGTTCTCTTGCTTTGGGGGGGGGAGCCATTTGCTCAGATAAATGAAAGCTAATCAATTTAAAAGCCTTATTCTGAGAAGGGGCCCATAGGCTTTCTCCATCAGGTTGCCCAAGGGCAACACAAAAGACACAAAAGAGATATGGAACCCCTGCCTTTGAATCACTGACTGTTAGAGTCAGAGGGACCTTTAAGGATCATCTTACACAATTTGTTGTCCCCACTTTCCCCAAAACCACTAAGGAGGATGGGTTAAGACAGACAAATAAGCAAAAGTGTGAAAAGAATGGCATGGGGACGGGTGGGCCCTGCACAAAACTAGCTCCAGCAGGATTTTTAGGCATGCGGATTTTTTCAGTAAAATACGAGGCAAGGTTCTCAGCTGAGTGGGAGGGTGGGGAGGGGGGGACGGACGGACTAAGGGAGCATGAGAGGTTTGAGGACAAATGAAAGGGTTTCCAAGAGCTGCTGCAGGGTCACACCCCTTCTTCCAAGAAGCCCCAGAGCCCCTCGAGGCCAGTGACTCTCCTTCTGAAGCTTTGTCTCCCAATGGCTACTGTGGCTAGCCCTGTGACATGGCGGGCACTCAGGTGCCAAGAGAAGACTACCAGGCCTGGGGCACTTCTGGGCTGGAAGGTAACCCCAAAAGCAATCTCAGAATGCCACAAACATCTGCGTTTCGTTGCCATAAGTACTTTATTTTGTCAGATGATTAATACAGATAACATAAGACTGATACAAATTTGCCATTGGGTGGGTAATACAGGAATTCTCCAGGAATAAAATGGTGATGGACGCCTGAAGATCCTGAGGTTTTGGCCAATGGCAACAAGGACAAAAACAATATAGCGAAAAGATAAACACTTGCAAGCTTCAGGGAACTAGGAATCCCTAAGGAGTTAACATTTTCTTTCATGACTGAGAACAAGGAGGAATTTCAAAATGCTTTGTAGCATCCTGCTGATAAAGGAGCAGAATTCCATCCATGTCATTTATAATCAGAGGCAGAATATCCCAAAGTAAAGGCTTGGCATGCATAATTATCAGAACTATGTTAATATATGATGTGCAAGTCCCTTTCCCTCATGCCCTACGAACCCCTCCCTTTACATGAATGAAGACCTTCTTCAGGCCCTGTTGGGTCTCTTGATGATATTTAAGTAAATAGTGTCCTGCATGTGTGAATGTGTGTCTGTGTGAGACTATATTATGGGTATGGGTTAAGTGTCTGTGGATATATGCATGTGTAGGTACATGTATGTGTAGGGGGTAGGGGGGGAGTGTATGTGTATGTTTGTGTTTTATTTGGAAGAGGGGGGAGCACAGGGTAAGAATATAGAGGTGACAAGTAGCATTTATCTCAAAGCCTGAATGCACAATAGCAATACTAAATTCTCAAAACTCAAGACCAAACCAAGAACACAATGGAGTTCCAACGGTTCCCAAAGTGTCACGTGACCACATTCAGCGCATGAGAAGGCTGTGCTTTGGTCCATCCACTCTCTCCAACTTCTCGAAATGTTTCCTGGCATTGCGGATATTGATCAGGGTGGCTGCAGAAGCTATGGGGGGAAAGAAAAGAACACAAAGGAGGCATGAAGAGCTAGCCCGGTGACCAGCCCGCCACTGTCCATCCTCTGAGGTCTAGAGTAGCAGCAAAGAAGCCCCTGGAGGGCTGGCCTGTTTGATCTGTCCCCTTGTGTCCCCAAGGGACTGAAGCACAACAACAGCCGCACCCCCCAAAATAGCCCCCAAAAGAGAAACTGACATCCTGCTCAAAATCTTTCCCAAATGGTCTTTGTTGTGTGACTCACTCTGCAAACTGTCATAGGACAGCGAGAGCGAGGCTAGAAGCACATACTGTGATGCTGGGCACTAGTCAAGGAGGGCTCAGAAGAATTCTAGAGAAAGCCAACCAAAGGGAAACTGAGCCTAAAAATCCTTCCTGGGCCCAGGTCTCTTTGATCACATCTTAGATCCGGGCAAAATGAATGCTGGCGATGGAAAGGGCAGCGGATGAAGCAGCATTGCCAAATACTCTAGGCAGTCCTTCTTGAATTTGACCTGCGCTAAGCAGCTCTCAGGTGCCAGGTCCTGTTTTCACAGAACTTCTGCTCTCCTAAGGAGCAAAGCCGGCCCATGACATCCAAGTTGTTCCCTGAGGAGGAGGGGACAAGGGCTGCCATGGGCGCCCGCCACAGCCAGGAGCTAGCTAGCACAAGCTGGGGATCCCCCAGGGTGGAGGTAAGGAGGGGGTACACCCCAGGCCTGGGCCCAGGCTATAGACTAGCATGTCCATAGAGCAGCAAGCCATTTGGCTCGTACAGAGTAAACAGTCCCTGATTTCAAGATCTTCCCTTCTATTGGAGGGGTATGGCAGGGAACTATAACAGGGTAATTGGAAGAGATGGCCTGCGTCCAAAAGTGTCTCACCGTCATTCATTTCTCTAAAGCTGGTGTCCCCCTTCAGGCTTTCCTATTTGGCTGGGGGATCATCTGCCATTCACCCAGCGTCCCATATGCATAATCTGAATATTGTGAGTACACCTGAGAGGTGAGTATTACCTCTGAGTCCTTTCTCCTTCATCACTCAGACCTAGCTGGTTTCCAAGCCCTGTCCATCGAGCTCAGAGGGCAGGGATTTTAACTCCCCTAACTTTTGGTTTTCTCAGGACCTATCAGTCTTTCATACACAACAGACACTTAATAAAATGCTTCCTATTGGATCTGGAAGCTACTGTATTTAGACACTAAAATACATTCAAACACACACTTCGGGAAGCATGGTATTTTGTTTCCACCTTCTTTGAAAGTCTAGATTATTGGAAATCTGTTTCGTGGATTGTTTTATGTTCTAGTGAGAGAAAAGTAATACCATTGAGAGTCTTGAGAATTGTTTGTTGGATTTTCCTAACTTACGTATCGACGGATCAGACATGACTACCATCACGTAGGTGTTGGAAGTAAAGATGTCAATGAAAGCAGCAAAGTTCGAGTTGCGCACTTCCATGCTCTGGAAGGAGGCCGCCAGCTTGCTGGAGGGGAAAGGAGAAAAGCTATTGAAAAACTGATTTCCTTGGACACATGGACCCTTAATGAAGCATTGCAGTTCAGGGCTATTCCACCTTCTAAAGCGAATGATTAGATGACTTCCAGGTCATGCATGCAACATGATGGCCAACTAGACATTTTCTCCAATTCCCACAATCTCGCAAATTTTTCCATAACAGAAATGATGTGCCAAAGATAAAGAAACTATTTCTGCGGTCTAGGATATCCAGAATCCAAAAGAAGGTTAAAAAAAGAATCCCCCGAGCCTACGAACTGGTGCGCCCTGAGCTTGAGCTCACTCAGTAGCCCTTCCCCAGTTCCAAGGCAATACTAGCAGAGCCAAGGACACAACACAGGCTGGCATCAAAACCCATCGCTACACCCCAGTCTCCCCTCTCTCATTCCAGTGCTGGGACAAAGTACCAAGGAACAAAGGGAGTGGGCCAGGTCACCAGGACAGGACACTTTGCATGGAGAGAGAGAGAGAGAGAGAGAGAGAGAGAGAGAGAGAGAGAGAGAGAGAGAGAGTGTGTGTGTGTGTGTGTGTGTGTGTGTGTGTGTGTGTGTGTGTGTG